ATGAATGCAGCCTCCACAAGAACAGGGACCTGCCCAGCTCTTTCCAGCTGTAGCAACAAAACTCTGGGGGCATTAGCACGTACCAGCCAATGGCACAGACATCCCCCAAAGTGCCAGGCTTGATGGGTAAGAGCCAATCAAGGGGGCAGTCTAGGCCCAAGAAATGCAGGGAACAGGAAACAGGAGGTAAGGCGGGGCAGGCAGGCCAGGAAGCACAGGCGTGTAGACCTGGAGGTTAAGGGGAGCAGGAAAATGGGATATTGGGGATGGGTGGGAGGCACATCCACCTCAGCCTGTGCTGGTGACAAGTCCAGAGCACAGCGAGGCAAACAGATGAGAAAGAGCAGGGTTAATAAGTGGGTGGATCACCCCAGGTTTCCATTCCAGTTACTGAGAGACACAAGTGGACCAGGCCTGTCCTGTTAGATAAGAGGTGACCACTGGGGATCAGAATGTGGGTCAGGCCATCGGAGAAAGAGATCAGTTCACCTCAGAAACAGGAACGGCATTGACTAGGGCGAGTGACACCACTCATGACGCAGATCCACCAAAGTCACGGACAGGCATGGCCCTGCCGGCTGGCCTGGGGAGGGCTCTGGCTCCAGCTCCTCTCAGGAGTGACAGAGCCGCCCCTGGAAATGCCAGCCACACCCCGAGAATGAATGCTCCCACTATTCCACAGGCTGCTGGGACATCTTCCAGTCACCATTTTTGAATCACTAAATCCCAAAAGTTCAAAAGTCTCTTTTCCAATCACCAAAAAAGGATGGGGACAGGGAGGTACTATTTGAAAAGTTCTGAGGGTTGGGGCCAAGTCAAACTTGACAGACAGCAAGCACGCAGCACCTCCTTCACGTCTCACACTGACCGATGTGGGAACAGGAAAAGGAAGGGTATTTTTCTTTTTCTATTAAGTGGATTCATTCAAACCTGAGACAGATCCCAGCCATGGCATCAGCTCTTCACTCCTCCAGAGCAGATAGCTAGGCAGTGCTCTGTACCTAGACTGCATTTGTGGGAGAAAAAGAGACTCCAAACCAATGACTCACACCTCCTCTTCCCCACTCCACCAGCTAAACCAGTGGACCATCTTCTAGTCTCTGCATCTCCATGTGACATGTGACATCAATCAACCGCTGACATGACCATGACTGGTGCTGACAAACTGCAGAGGAAGCGCCATCACCAGGATGGCTCTCCAGTTTCCCAGCACTTGATATGCAATATACCACCTTGTTCAATCCAGCTGTGGGTGCCCAGAACTGGAACCCAGGGACAAGGCTAGGCTGGCAGGTTTTAAAGAACAAAAACCAGTTATCCACTCAAGAACTCCCAGAAAAGATCTGGCAGACAGTGCTTGCTGTTCCCACCCTAAGTGCAGCGGTTCTCCAAGGTGGGTAGGGGGACTTTGAGTCCCTATATCTGGAGACCTTTTCTTACTGTCACAACTGGGGAGGTGCTACTAGTGTCCAGTGGGTAGAGACACCAGGGATGCTGCTAAACATCCCATAATGCACAAACAGCCCGTCACAACAAAGAATTATACAGCCCAAATGTCACTGATGCCAAGGGAAGAAACCTTGACTTAGGATCCCACCACGTAATGATCCCAATTCTTCAAGCACACAAGCACAGTCCAATTAAATTCTAGAAACTCAACTCCAAAGACCATTTTGATTGACATGTCAAGCTGATTAGATGACAGAAAACAGTAGTGTGAGTTAAGACTTGCTGATGACACCTGTGTGGTTGTTTCTTTGTGGAAGAAAAAAGAATTACTTTGCTAAGGGTCATCTGTAAAGGGAAGAAGAACACAAAAATTTCTAAAATTTCTTTGAGCTCCAAAGTCCTATGATTAAAAGGTGGTTGAAATTCTAACAGACTACTCTGGGGGGTTGGTAACTTTCTTTAAAACAAACAAACAAAAACAAAAACATAACATCTCTGGGAGGCTGAAAATCTGAGACCAGATCACTGTCCTTTAGACCAGTGGCTGCCAACCTTTTGGACCTCATGGACCACCAGGGGTCCGCGGACCACCGATTGGCAACCACTGCGTTAGAGCATAGCAGAAGCCTACCCTGTGAAATATTTAGCAGTACACAAGAACCAAAAACAGTCAAAACTGGAGAAACTGAAAGTCTATATTTACCATTCATGTGCTTCCTCCTTCCCATGGAAAACATTTGATAGACTGAGATAAACAGAAGGAGGAAATTACTACCGACTACTCGCCTTTTCTCCCAACATGGAATACACTGAACCAGAAACCTGAAAACAGCATGTGTTTTACTTGTTATACACTGATTACATACTGGTAGTACCAATGGTGACAATCTGCTTTATTTATTTCTTCTGGTGGTTTGCTTAATATACGTAGGAAATACAGGATGGGGCAAAAGTAGGTTTATAGTTGTGAGTATGAGGAAACCAGAGTTTATATTTGTATTATTATTTATTAACTAGAAGCCCGGTGCACAAAATTTGTGCATGGGTGGGGTGTCCCTCAGCCCAGCCTGTGCCCTCTCGTAATCCAGGAACCCTTGGGTAGTGTCCTAGGCCTGGCCAGCGATCAGGGCCTATTGGGGCTTTCCTTCCCCTGGCTGCAGGCAGCTGACCCTGGCCCTGCCCCCACCACTACCACTGCTCACCATTGGTGCAGTGCTGTCCCCCCTCCCCAGTCACCAATCGCCTCCCTCTGCGGGTGACAGGGTTGGGATGTGATCACTTGGCTGGCCTGGGCCTCCCTCTGCGGAGCGATGGTGGGGCCCCCTGACTAATCGCATTGTATCCGCCTTGG